GTGCGGGTCAGCGGGATTGATGACGCAGGTTGTGGCTGGCAGGCGCTCCCGGCCCGCGCAGTCGCGGGGTCGCTGGGGGACGCAGCTCGGCCGGCCGCCCCTCGGCTCAAGCAAGAGCCCCTGCAAGATTTGTTCACGCGGGTGCGATCCCCCTGCCGGCGCCGCCCGCCGCGCTCGGTCCCGCCGCGCTGGCTTGGCCGGCTGCGCCACTGCAGCGCGACGCGAGGCTCCTGGGCTGCGGCCCACCAGAACGCGTGCGCCAGGTGGTCGGCCACGTCCTTACTAATCCCTGCCGCCGCCAGGGCCGTGTGGAAGTGGGTCGGCTCGAGCTTGTCCTGGGTTGGGTGAAAAATGCGTGGGGTGAAATGTGAAGCAGGTTGGCTTCCCTGTAGTGAGTCGGAACCTTGGGATTGTGGTGCACAGTGCGAGTTGCTACAGGCCGTTGAACCGGGTGAGGGAAGGGCCGCGCCGCTGACCGACATGACATGCGTTCTGACGGCCGAAAGCGCGCAGCGAGGCGCGCGCATGGTCGTGCGAAAGCATGGCTTGACCGCAGGCGAAGCCGCCGGCTGGTCAGCACGCCATGGCGCGCGGCCTCTTTCGAAATCACGCCTATCACTTTGACCCGTGCGCGTGGCCGCCCCGCTCCCTGTGTGTGTCCGTTTCAGCATTTCCGCATGCAGCAAACGCCAATCGAGCCAAACAATGCAGCTTCCCTCTCAGCAGGAACCCACCTCAGCCACCGCAGCCGTGAGCTCGTATATGAACTGCGCTGCTCTGGCCGCCGTGACACCAGGTATTGTGGGTCCCACATCGCTGGCATGCACCTGCCATGATTGGTTTGGGTGCCGCCAGGTGGGGATGCGGCCGGGATGCGCCGCGCACACTCACTGCATTTGTTGCTGCGTGCTGCACTGCCGCCAAGGTGTTGCCAGGGCACAGCAGCCCGTGCAGCCTGAGATCTGCACACCTTTCCAGCTTTCAAGCCGTCTATAAGGGACGGCGTAAGGACAGCCTTTTCCGCCATCGCTCAAGATCGCATGTGCTGCTCCGCTCCCTCGCCGCTCTAACGAGATCCTTTCATGCGTCACCTCTAGATACTTTATGTACTGCAGCAAACAGATCAAGTGTTGAGTGCGACGGCAGATCACTCCTGCCCGCTGATGCTGGCTGAGGGGTGACTTTGAAGCTCTGTTCGTACCGTAGTATTGGACGCGAACTGCGCGTCGAGAGCGGGTGACACCACTTGGCCAAAAGCGGGCACCACTGCCGCTGCAGGAAACCGCCGAGAACCTCCAGGGCTGCGTTGTGTCGAGCGGGCGTCGAGTGTGTCGTGCGCAGCGCAATTGTCTGTGCCTGACAGAACACTCCTGCCGCATTTGTGGCATATCACAGCAACGAGGCGCTAAGCTTCCACCATAATGCACGAGTTGCGAGCTCAGGGTGCGCCTGCGTGCAGGGCGCAGCGCTTGTCCAGAGCAGCAGGTTCCAACAGAGGGTGGGACATGGACGTGCCATCCAGGGCGAGCAGCATAGCAGTGGCGTCCATTCATAGTTGTGACAGCCCGCATGGTCTTACAAAATATCCCTCAGCGCCGCCAGCAGCCCGTCCACCTCGGCCGGCGAGTTGTAGTGCAGCAGGCTGATCCTTACTACCCCGTCCTCAATAAACGCCTCCGCCGCGCCCCCCTGTGTGACGTCTTCCGAAAGCGCACCCTCCTCCTCCTCCTCCTGCTGCTGCTGCTGCTGCTGCTGCTGCGGCGGCGGCGGCGGCGACGGCGGCTGCGGCTGCTGCTGCTGCTGCCCCTCGCCGCGCCGCAGGTGTGGCAGGATCGCGGGCGCCAGGGCCTCGACAAGGCGCCGCGCGTAGCAGTGGCCGTTGCGGATGGCAAAGCCGCGGGCCTGGGCACGGCACACAGAATTGCAGTATTGGGGGCACTACGCTATGTAGCATAGAATCAACAAGGCTCTGGGCATTCTCATCTTGATCGAGAGGGCTGAAGCACGGGCATGCATGGTGCAAGGCCCACGGGCAAGCCAGCTGGGATCACGCGCCCCCGTCTGTCCCCACGCCATCTACCCCTCAAAAACAGGGGCGTCCCCAGCGCCCGCAGCGAGCTCATAGGCCCGCCCAGCCCCTCGCACCTGCACTTCCTTTGCAACCTCGGCCGACGTTTTGTGAATGTGCACAAAGCTGATCGTCGGGACGCGCCCCGCCCACCCCTCGTCCCCGCCAGCCGCCTCGCCGCCGCTGCCGCTGCATGCCGGGGGTCCATCCAACGCGCCCGGGCCGATGAGGATGGTCCGCGGGTGGCTCTGCAGGAACTCCAGAATCGGCGCCGCCAGCGGCGCCTCCAGCCGCCCCATGACTGCATAGGCAGCTTCCACGCCGCCCCTCAGTAGCAGCGGCTTCCCCGCGGCCGCGGCCGCGGCCGCAGCCCCGCCGTTATTCGCCCCGCGGCCGCCTGCGTCGCTGCTGCCACCGTCCGCGGTGCCGCCGGCAGCTGACGAGTGTCCATCCAGGAGGGCGGTGCGCCGGCCCGCCAGCTGGCGCAGGTAGCTTCCTATTGCCAGGATGCCCGCGCAGGCCTCGTGACTGACACTTCCGAGCTCAAACCAATAGGAGGGCTGTTTATGATGGTGGGGGCGGGGCAGGAGCGGTGCGGTTGGGACCATTGGTGTATGCAGGCGCGCGGCCGTAGGCAGGGCAGCCCCGCGCTTGCGAGGGGGTGCTGTTGTGTGTGGGGCTGCGAGGCTGCCGTTGGTAGCTGCCCCGCAGCATCCGTTGCAATCGCACACTTGCAAATCCAGTCAACTCAACGGCGCCCCCTGCTGTATCACGGCCTGGGGCAATAATCTGATCCGGCGGGTCTGTCCTGCCGCAACAACGTGCGGCTGCCCGGCAGCTTCCGTGGCCTCAGCCGGCCAGCAACCGCACAGATCTTTTGCAAGGCAGCGGACCCCGCGTGCCCTTGTCACCTGGGAGGGCTTGATGAAATAATGGTTGGGGCCGCGGCCGGCGGACAGCTCCTCAAAGGCGGCCGTGCTGCCGAACAGCGCGGCGGCGTGGGGGCCCCACGTCCTGCGGGGTGCATGGGGGCGCGCGGGGGGTGGCCTTGGAACAGGCTCGACAGAGATGTGTGATCTCGGGACAGGGGTCCGTGGAAAGGCTCAGGACTAGCCGGGGTGGGCAATGATGCTGGGCGCCCGTCCGCCTGCCGCAGGGTGCAGCGCCGGTGGCTCGGCGGGCGGCCTGGCAGGCAGGTGCCCTGACTGCCTGCCCTTCTCGCGTCCGCGCTGCATGCCGCAACCCCAACCGCATCCCCACACTGTGCACGTGCACCCGCCGGCCTGGCCCAAGATTGTG